AAAGCTTTGCAGAGAGTGGTGAAGGCTGCACAGAAATCTGTTGGAATGAGTCTCCCCACCATCACAGACATCTACACCTCCAGATGCAGGAAGAGGGCCACCTGCATCATGAAGGACCCCACCCACCCAGCACACACACTTTTTGCCCCACTCCCCTCAGGAAGGAGGTTAAGGAGCATTAAGTGTAGAACCACTAGACTGAGGAACAGCTTCTACCCTGAGGCTGTTAGACTCATGAATCTCTAACTAGAATAATCACTGTGAAAAACCATATCATGTTGCTGCTGATCTGTTTCATGTTGCTGCTGATCTGTTTCAATGTTGATGTGTTCATGCGTGCACATCTGCTCACAGACTCATGTTCATGTTTGTGCTGATGTTCAATGTTTTATGTTATGAGTGCTTAGTGTATATTTAGTTGATGTTTTTCTTAGTTCATATCTTAGATGTCATTACTGTTTTTCTTATACATTTTATTGTTGGATGTAACTGGGACCCTGTGTACATAATTTCGCTCCACCACATGTACCACATGAGGTGCGAATGACAATAAAGAAACTCTGACTCTCTGACTCTGACTGTACTTTTAGGAACTGATTTGTTCGCAGCTTGTATAATAATTGATGTTAATTTTTCATTCAATTCTTCAATTTATTTAATATCTTCTCTAATAATTTCTCCACATTTAACTTGAGCCAGATCTTGAAAACTGACCCAGTTAGCTTTATTAAATTACCATCTAGGTATTCGAAATGCTTTTTCTTTAAGAACATCCATTCTTATTTTAATTATATTATTGGATAATGGTCACTGCCAAGTGATGTTTTGTTCGTCACTTCCCACTGTGTAATTCCTGCAATGTTACTTGAAGTAATTTTTTAATCGATTGCTGTTTCTGTGTTCTTTGTAATATTATATCTCGTCTCTGTTCCATTATTTATGCACACTAGTCTAGTTTCTTCAATGAATTCCTCAACATTTCTCCAATTTATATATGTGTGATCACTTCCCCATAGAATACTGTGAGCATTAAAATCTCCACACCATACAACCTTCCCTTGTACCCGTCCTCTGCCCTTGGGTTAAAATGATACTCAAGACCTAAGGTTTAAAACTGAGGCCTCCTGGGTCATATTGACTCATGGGTAGCAGGAAGGTTAAACAAAAAATTAATTAAAAAAGCTAAATCTTACAGTCGTGACGACCTAGGGATCCTGAAACATGCTCAATAATCAAGGTTGAAAAATCTAACATGATTAAGTCAGATCCTCTGGACAGATTCTGCTGAACCATCTGTCCAGAGGACCTGACTTAACCTTGTAAGATCTAGCTGAAATACTGTAAACACGTTTTTACAAACTAACGTGACTGCTGCTGCCTGTAGTGACATGTCAGTGCTGGTTGCCTTTCCAGTCAGGGTGCTTTTATGACAACACCAACTGCCCAGTGCTCCCCCAATACAAAAGAGGAAAAACAAATCCTTGAAGCATCCTCAGCATCAGTTTCCACCAGCGTAGTCTAACTCTGGAACGACTGGCCAGCGAACGGCTCGTCTGAATGCAGCTGAGACCAAAGTGGACTGCTGCCATCTTTATGATAATATCTCAGCACCAGTCACGTATACATTACAGAGTTAACCAGCCTCACTTAACGTCAAACTCAAAACAAATGTCTGTTTTTCATGTCGTCTCTCTTCTCTCTGGAAGGTTTTATTAAATCAACAAGTTCTAGTGCTAAACTGGAGCATAATCTGACATACTCATATCTTTCTGTTTTCACTGCTGAAACCTATTGCACTCATTTATTTATTTTGTTAAACTATGTTAACTTAGCACCAATCCTTCACTGAGCCAGAGCAAAATAAACACTTCTGTCAGGACCTGGAAGTGGGCTCGTAAGACCAACAACTTCTTGTTAGGAGTGCTGCGTTTGTTTAGTTAGTTATACTTTAACTTTGTGTAATTTATGACTAGATCAGTGTTTCTCCTACCATTATCCAAGGAGGGCGTCCCGCCCTGTCCACAGGAACAAGCGCACTGCTTACCAAAATCCCAACCCCCCAGCACTGAGCTAGCTGTAGTAGAAACCCCCTGTCTGTCAGGATTTGTAACAGTGCTATTACCAGTCACATTAGCCGAGGTGTTCTTGGGCTCTGGTTCTTCTCCAGTTGTCTCCAGCTCTTCAACAAAGTTGGATGGAAAGAGTCCGGATTTGCCGTTCACTGTGCCGCTCCACCAGCCCTCTTCCACCTGCAGGCAAAACAAAACAACCTATAAGTCTGCCTTTCACTCGTCAACCTGAATGCCTTGTGGTTGCATGTGTTAAATCCTTAAAGGGAAGGGCCTTTTGTCGTGCCCATTCTCTGCATGCTCTGACTCGTTCAAAACTCAAGCAGCCAACACTTTTTGCTTCCAATAAACGCAAACTTCAAAACCTTCTGGCAAATGAAATGCACTAAAATCCATGTAAAGTCTGGAAAATTATCTTCAGTTTATTTACATAATATGGCACCGAGCCAAAACAGAGGTCATCTCAGGGCACTAACAGAAACATTCACATACATAGAAATGCCAACTTGTAAAGTTCTTTATCTAAGGAAGCAGCAGATTGTGTTGAATTTTCACTTCCTCTCAGTCTAACATCCTGAGCAAGCACAAAGGAAACAGTGGGAAGGAAAAACTCCCTTTTAACAGGAAGAAACCTCCAACAGAACCAGGCTCAGGGCGAGCAGCCATCTGCTTTGACCGGCTGGTTTGAGAGGACAGGAAGTAGAGACAGACGAACATAGGTCCAGGTGAACTTTCTATTGGAAGAAAGTTAAAACAAGGAAAGACAAAAAATGTCTGTGTTGTGGGGGGAGATAAAAATGTAAACCACACACAAAAAAAAAGGACAATCCTTTTGGTGCGTCTCGAACTTGAGTTTTAAAAAATAAGTTAATTATAAATAAATTAAGGATCTGAGCTGAAGTCCAACATTTTAATTACCTCCTCTGTGATTTCTATAATGTCTCCCAGTTTGAGCTCCAGTTCGTCTTCGTTTAATGGTTGATACTCAAACACCGCCTTGCACTGCCTCTTCTTCAGCTCTGTAAAGGAGAGAAGTCAGTTAGCTCAACAACAAACTGCTTGTCTGGGAGTCGTTGCTTCCTCTGAGTGTGAGAGCAGAAACAGCTGATCTAATCCTACATGTGCTACAGAGACCCTCACCCACAGACAGAGAAACTCTCAGACAGACAAGCCAAGGACTGAATGGAGTACTTAATAAATACATAAGAGAACTGAGTGTTGAATCAAAAACAAGAAACCAAACTAGCAGTACGGTGATGTCCCCCGTCACTGAGGGATTAGAATAGTGAATGTTTTTAGTTTCCGAGCTGTTTTTCTGTACTGGAATTGAACAGGGAATGCAATAAACCTTAATGTTTTTGGTGCAAGAAATTCAACAGATAGGAGTTACACTGTGGAGAAAAACATAGGAACATGTAAAACAGGTAGGATACTTTTTTTACTGGGTTTTTTTTTTCACCCCCAGACTTTGTCATTGTGCCTGTCTGGTCAATAAAATTGCTCTCTCAGTGCTTCCTTGGACAATCCATCAATCAGTCCATCAATACATCAATCAGTCCATCAATACATCAATCTCTCAATCAATCCGTCAATCAGTCCATCAATCCATCTATCAGTCTATCAATCCATCAATCAGTCCATCAATCAATCCATCAATCAGTCCATCAATCAATCCATCAATCAGTCCATCAATCAGTCCATCAATCAATCATCAATCATTCAATCAGTCCATCAATCCATCAGTCAGTCCATCAATCTATCAATCAGTCCACCAATCCATCAATCAATCAATCAGTCCATCAATCCATTAATCAATCCATCAATCAGTCCATCAGTCCATCAATCCATCAATCAATCCATCAATCAATCCATCAATCCATCAATCAGTCCATCAATCAATCAATCCATCAATCAGTCCATCAATCATCAATCAATCCAACAATCAGTCCATCTAACCATCAATCAATCCATCAATAAGTCCATCAATAAATCAATCCATCAATCAATCCATCAATCAGTCCATCCATCCATCAATCATCATCATCTTTTTGGGGCACAAGGGTCACTGGTGGCAATATCCAGCAGTCAATGTGCGAGAGGTGGGGGACACCCTGGACAGGTCTCCATTCCATCACAGGGACACAGAGACAAACGAGACAAACAACCATTCACTCTCTCACTCTCACCTAGAGACAATTTAGAGTTACCCATCAGTCTAACATGCATGTTTTTGGTCTGTGGGAGGAAACTGAGTACTCAGAGAAAACCCACACATGCACGAAGAGAACATGCAAACTCCACCCAGAAAGGTCCCTGGATGGGATATGAACAGATGACCTTCTCGCTGAGAGACAACAGCTCGACTAGCTGTGCCACCGTGCCACCCTCCTTGGACAAGCAAAAAAAAAAAAAGAAAAACATAACCTACCTCTGTTCAGTGTAACTTCTATCCACCTGAATATGCCGCAACAAAAACATTAAGGTTTATATGCCCTGTTTAATTATAGTCCAGAAAAACTCTCATCTCTAAAACTACAAATATTCACTGTTCGAATCCCTCAGAAACGGGGACATAGGTGTACCGCTCGTTGATTCTTGAAAACCTCATGTTTGGAGTACAGCAGCTTTCAATTTAAACAGAGCAAGCTTCTCAGATGAGAAGCACATCTCATCTGAATCAAAAATCATTTTATTTGCCTCTGAATGTCCAGGATGTTCTCAGGACTAAACTAAAATGCTCCTTTACATGTTGGTCAACAAGAGTGAACTTCTTAACCATAACTTACAACGTATAAACAGAAACGGGATATTGACAGTGTTGATCTTTAGGAAATCATTATCAAAATAATGTTTTACTACTCACCATATACTATTATTTTATATAATGATGAGCATAACTGGTCAAAATAAATGTTGAGCCACACATTTTGAGCAGATTTCTGATGAATTTACTAAAGTTGTGATTAGACCGTCACGATAACAAATTTTGCTGGGCGATTAATTGTCTCAAAAATTATTGCGATAAACGATAATATTGTTTGAAATGTAACAATAATTAATTGTCAAATTTTAGAAGGAATGTTGATTTGTTTGGAGTGTAGTACCTTTTTGACCACCTGATGGCAGTATAAGACTGTTTGAACCAAAGGATGGATATCTAAAAAAGTTAAATCTGGTCCTCTGGACATTCAAAAAACAAAACAAAGCAAAACAACAACAAAAAAATGTAGAAACATTTCATCTTTCATCTGAAAGACTTCTTCAGTCTGAGATGCTGTATTCAGCTCTACCTGGATTATTGAGCATTCATCAGGATACAAAGGATGGATAGTTGAGCAGCATGTCTCCTTCAGAAAAATGGGAGGGAGGGCCCTTGACGTGACATGGTGACGTGGCGGACGCTCAGTGATTTGAGCTCTTTAGCATAGCATTTTTCACGCAAAGCTTTTAATTTAAAAAAATAAAAATTACAAATCAGTAAACAAGTTCTCAGCTTCTTTTTGCTGAGAAAAACAACTTTTTACACGAAAGCACAGGTTTCAACCGTGAATTTTGGAGCTTTGACAAAACAGTTTTTTTCCCCAAGGTCGGCCTGTTAGCTTAGCTGCTTTTAACAATCCAAAAACACAATTTTGGACAGTAAAAGAGAAAGGGAGGGGCCAGTGAAGAGTTGAGCATTTTGTCATCCAGTGTCTTCAGTAGAAAGAGAGAGACACGAAGAAACGATAAAGCCAATAAATGAAAATGAGGTCGATAATTTTCATTCATCATGCGATTAATTGATTAATTGTTAATCGCAACAGGCCTAGTTGTGAAATGTTCCCAGTTGTCTGCTCCACTGTAGATTCATTTAACATTAATGGTAAATGGACTGTACCTATATAGCGCCTTTCTATCTTATTTCAAGATACTCAAAGCGCTTTACAACACAATCTGTGTCCTCATTTACCCATTCATACAGCACTCTACTAGATCTCTACAAAGATAATTGAACAAATCATTCTAAAGAGACTAATCAGAGCTTTAGATCACATTCATACACCGATGGGACACACTTCAGAGGCTATGAGGGGTTCAGTGTCTTGCACAGGGACACTTCGACATGTGACTGCTGGTGGATTCGAACCCCCAACTCTCGCATTGGAGGACGTCTGCTCCAACCACTCAGCCACAGCCGCCCCATTAATGAGGGGAGAGTTGTTGAAATCAAAGCTGGTTTTGTGATGGTATCTTGGAGCAAGATGAAACACATTGGAGGTATGCTGCTCTCACCTTGATAAGCACGAAAAGACACGTTAGCTCTCACTCAGGCAGGAAGAGGTCAAATATTCAATATATATTATATATTAATATATATATTAATATATATACAATGTTCTAGAATTGCACCGCTCGGGGTGGCTGCATGTTGGAGCAGCTCTGTTACTTTCATTCTGAGATTTTGCTTTTGGAAACTTTAATTCCTCTTTTTCTGGATGTAAATCACATTTTTTGGATGATTGTTTCCTCTGGTATCAGATGTTGTGCAGCTGGAAGGATTTTTACTAAACTTTTTTTACTTTTAGACATTTGTTATGATGCGTAACCATGGCAACAAGGCAGTTTTCTACAACCAACAACAGCTGATTAACATCTCAAAAGCTCAAATAATATCTCAACTACAGCCCCAAATCTCAAATGAGTTGAAACGATGTTCTGTGGACGCATTCTCATCTACCTGCCAGCTGTGCTCGAGTGCCTGACCACTGAGATCCTGGAATTAGCAGGAAACATGGGTCATGACAGCGGAAGGACAGGATCGTCCCTCGGCACCTACAGTTGGCTGTCCGCAGTGACGAGGAGCTCGGCAGGCTGCTGGGAGGAGTTCTGCCTGGCATTCAGGCGGTCCTACAGCCCGGGGGAACCAAGAGTCCAGCCGAGTCTGGGTGGACGGATCGGGCGGCATCTGCAGCCAGTTTCTTAGGATCCACTGTGGGATGGACCTTTACAAGAGATCCTTCATGTCTACAGCCATCAGCATCTATAACATCTCTTAATGAAATGAGGATAGGAGTAGGGTGGGTGATTTTTTTTTGGGGGGGGGGGGGGGGGTTTGCACCATTTCACCCGCTTCAAATGTTATCAGCCATTAAATGGCCATTATTAGTTGTTATCATCCCCATATGAAGTGGTCAGACTGCCCCTCCTGTACCTCCTAGTGGGTTTAAAGGTACGTTGCTAGCGTTGTTAACGATGATAATAGGCTCTGTTTTTAGCGTTGTTAGCGCTCATAATAGCTTCACGTGGTTAGGTTTAGAGTAAAGGGTCTGGTGGTTAGGTTAAGGCACAAGGGTAAGGGGGTTAAGTTTAGGGTTGGTCCTCTGGGTCAGGTGTAAGGTTAGGGTTAGGAAAAGTGTTACATAAGCTGTAAAAAAAAATAATAATAAATTAAAAAAAAGACACTTCCTGGTTTACCACCGTGCGACACAGCAATAATAACTATAATAACGTATCTTTAAACCTACTAGGAGGTAGGTGAGACCGTCTCACCACTACATATGGGGATGATAACAACTAATGACGGCTGATAACATCCGAAGCCTCTGACCATTTTCATGTTGTCAGTGTGCGTTTGGCAAATTAATAATGTTTGCTAAAATCCAGCAACTCAGGTTTAATAATAAAGTTATGAACAAATATGGCTGTCTTGTCGTTTGGGAAGCCATTGTTGAACCGTGTCACTTCCCTCTGCTGCTGAGAAACTCCAACACCTCCTCAGCTGGTGACGCTCGTCACCCACAGCACGCATGCGACAGAGTATAAACTCAAAGCAAGTGTTACCTGCCCCTCTTCCTCTTTCGCGTTAACAATTTTTTTGTTTGTTTGTTTTTTAGTTTGTCAAAGCACTGTCTTTGTGTTGTTTTTCTTTTTTATACAGAAGTAAAGTTTAATAATAGTCCTCGGCTCTGGACGCATTTCAACCACAGCACGCAGCAACAAAGAGTATAAACTGAAAGCGAGAGCGACACTTGCCCCCTCTTTCTTCTTTCACGTTGACAAAATGTTTGTTTTATCGTTTGTCAAAGCTCAATTTTGATGTTAACATTGAGCAGGAGCTGAGAGCTGCAGGATCATGTTTCAAACTCCACTTAAAAAACTGTGCACTACAAAACGTGCTCATTGCAGCCATTAATCCTGACTTCCTCATTTTGATTAAAATATTAAAATTTAAAAAATCAGCACAAATTGTTTTATTCATTTTTGTTTTGTAGGTCAAAGTGTTTTGTACAACACTGTTAAAATGTTGCTGATCAATTTGAATTTATTATTATTGATTATATTTAATTTGATTGTTCAGTATCAAATGGTCAAAAATATTTACAGTTTAAATAAGGATTTTTTTTTTCAGGCAAATTGATGCACTTTAGATCTTTTCTGTTACAAACTATAAAACAATGTTAATAATCTTTGTTGTAAGTAAATGGACTGTACTTATACAGCGCCTTTCTATCTGATCAAGATACTCAAAGTGCTTTACAACACAATCTGTCCTCATTTACCCATTCATACAGCACTCTACTAGATCTCTACAAAGATAATTGAACAAATCATTTTAAAGAGACTAATCAGAGCTTTATCACATTCATACACTGATGGGACACACATCGGTGGCAATGAGGGTGTAAGAGCCATATTAGTAAAATAAGTAATTGAAGGCTTGACAGGTGAGCATGCAGCATTGACACTTGGATGGTGGGTGTGTCAGTGTGTGTGTGTGTGTGTGTTGACTGTCACCAGATATCAATGACGTGCTGACTGGCGTTCTGGCTTTTGTATGGATGAAGAAGTTGGGTGCGCCCGGGGTCGTCATATTTTCTGTTGACCGTGTTATAAGACGCCGTAGAGTTATGCCATTAAGCATTTATCAATAGTTTAGACCTGGTCAGTATGTGTCTCAGTCTGTAATGTTTAAAGCTTGGAAATTTGAAACAGAATAAATCGATCATGACACAAAGAAGTGACCTGGAGTGACGTCAGTTTGGAAACACGCGTCGGACAGAGATTCCCGAGTTTAACCAAGTGCGGCCCTCAATATCATAAGTTTGCCGCGAAATTAGAGGGGTTCAGTGTCTTGCCCAGGGACACTTTGACATGTGACTGCTGGTGGATTCGAACCCTCAACTTCTGCATTGGAGGACGACTGCTCTAACCACTCAGCCACAGCCACAATGTTATGCAGAGCTGTACTTATAACAATTTTATAGAAAAATTTAACTATCAATTTTTGTTAGAAATCAGTCGCGGCGGAGAGTTGGGGGGGGGGGGGGGGCAAAATGTTTACGTCTTCCTAGGGGTTCATAACAGAAAATAATTGAGAAGCACTGTTCTAAAGAAACTTCTTACACGTTGTGTAGGCAATAATGTGTGGAAATGTAATACCATCCAGGATACAACAAAACATACTCTGGAAGGTTTACTGTGTGTATCTGACAGAATACTTTCTGTACTGGTGCTTAATATGAACAAACCAACCAACAAAGAGTCCTGACCTGATGATGTTGGTCTTTTTAGAAAAGCAACATCATCAGGCCAGGACTCTGCGGTCTACACTCATCTCCAGGCCAGCGGTCACTCTTTCAGGGATGAAGATGTTCACATCCTGGACAGAGAGGAACGATGGTTTGAGAGAGGAGTAAAGGAGGCCATCTTTGTGAAAATAAATCATCCATCATTAAACAGGGGTGGAGGCCTCCGGGTTCAATTGTCCCCCTCTTACAATGCTGTGATTGCTAGTATCACTCAGCCCTCAGTGAGTAGTAAACAGCCATCAGGGTGTTAATGATCCATCGTTAGGCTGATGGTCCTTCTTGATCATGTGAACCACTAGTTCTGGATGTCAACAACAAACTGGTTGATCCACTATGAGAAGGTTCCATTTATAAGGCCCTATTTACACGGACACGATGGGGGGAAACGTAAGTGTTGTCGTATGTTAATTAGAGGAAAAGATTTGCGTTGACACGGACGGATTTTGTGTTTACATGCATCCGGAAGAATCTCCCCCGCCCTCCCGAATCCATCGGCCCAGATGAACTGCAGGAGGACGTAGAAGAGAAAGCTGTTAGGGGAATTTTAAATTAATAGTTCATCCAAGTTCTTTTATTGAATCCACTGAATATTTTAAGTTGCATTAATCAAAGGAGTGACTTCCTGAACGAGCCAGATGAACAGCGCGGGACATCCAGGATGAAAATAAGAGTCCAGTTCATTAATGTAGTTTACAGTTAACTTGTTTTTAATAGTGTGTTCAGTTTAATTATCAGTGTTTGTGTGACATACAGTTTGTGGTGTTGAATAAATAAATAAAAATTTAAACCTGTTTTCATTTTCAACAGTAGTAACACGCAATATGTTTAGCATAATTTTAAATTTGAATTACATAATGTCCAGATAGCTTCATTATATCTCGCACACCAACATAAATACTGTTTATTATTATTAAACTTATTATTTAGCACATTTAGTATGTTATAGTACAGCGTGACGTGTGCGCGTGCCTCGTTCTATAAACAGTGATATTAGAACTGGATCAGATTGTGTCTCTTCCAACACAGATGTCGGTCACAGCACCTGGAATCTGACGTAGATTAACTACGAGATTAAAAATATATTCCATCAGTTGTAGTTCTGAAAGCACTGTCCGCCGCCATGTTGATAGAAATATGCCGTCTGTCCGACCGCGCGTGCGCATGTGGTTTAACACAAAGCCTCAGCGGGAGATGTTTACATCATCAGCGGGGGGTCAGCGAAAAACCTCCACTCTGGAAGGTGGGTTCAGAAACCTCTGGATTCAAAGAGGGGGGCCACTGGTGTCGTGTAAATGATCCGCAGAACCGCAGAGAGAAAACTGCGGATGCACTCAAAATATTCGCCGTGTAAACGGCCCCTCAGACTGACTTTGTTGTAGCTCCTCAAACTGAAGAAGTCTTTGGGATAAAAGATGAAACGTTTCAACAAGAAGAATCCATCCAGAGGACCCGACTTAAACTTGTTAAACATTTACTATTCAAATACCTCAGCATGAGGGGACATCGATGTACCGTGTTCTTGAAATTGAAGCCTCTACCAGAAATCTTTTGTGAAAACAGCAACAACTCGCTACATTTAACCACTAGAATATTTGCCCACTCTTCATGATAAAACTGTTCAAATTCCTTAAAGTGATGTGATCCATTTGAGTCTCATTCAAAGTGCAAAGTAAAAAAATGATAGCATCTTACTTTTTGATGCAGCAGGCGGAGGAGGCTGGAAGCCACCAATGGGGATGCCGATGTGGCTCATCCTCTTGACCAAGTTGGCCACGTTACTTGGCTCTTTCTTCGGAGGCTCAGCAGTCTTATTTAGCTCATTTGCTGTTTCCTTTTTGACTACCTAGGAAAAAAAGAAAGAAAAAGCTGTTAGTGTCGACCATTTACTACATATATCTATTAATCCACTTCTGTAGCAGTGTTGTCCTGTTGGGGACCATAACAAGGAAGGCAGCAGGCAAAAGGCAGGGAAACATGAACAGGTCACCAGTCAACACAAAGACACACAAAACAGGCCAAGCACACACACGCTGACATACATGTGTGGACCATTGAAATCAGTTTCTCAAAATTCCATTTTCAGTTTTCTCCTGGATTACTGACAAAACCACACGTGAATCAGGTTCAAGTTTAAGTATCTTTATTATCCTCAGGGGCAACTAGTTTCACAGTCAGTAAGCAAATAAAACATCCACACTACACAAAACATTACAACATTAAAATAATATGGAAGTCATCAGTGTTCACTGATCACTCTGTTCGTTCTACATCTGGGCAGCAGATATCTGTGTCATGATGGAAGCAACCTGAACTCACCATGGAGTGGTGATCAGGATCTGCCAGAATCAGCCTGGCCTTGTTCAATTCAATTCAATTAACTTTATTTATATAGCGCCAAATCACAACAAAGTTGTCTCAGGGCACTGAACAGGAACATTCACATGACCTCACTGACCTCACCTTGTGTAGATCAGTGAGGTTCTGCAGGGCAGCAGTTCTGCTGCACATCCTGACAATCCCTTAGTTATATACATAAACACACACACACACACACACACACACATTATATACACAGTACAGGAAGTTTTTAAGAAAAACAAGCTCCAACTCCACAACTAGTGCTACAAATGTGGCTTAAAATAAGATTGTGCCCCCCCCCCCCACACACACACACGCGCCCCATTTTTCCAATTAGCTTCATCACCAGCAGTACTGTGGGTTTATTGTTTTAAAAAAAAAAGTTTAAATAAATGAAGGCAGAACAGTCTGAACAGTGCAGCTTGGGAGTTGTGGTGAAGAGGTTAGAGAAGGTGGGCTGTGATCGGAAGATCGCTAGTTCAACTCCCAGTACAGACAACATCAAAATGTGGGTGGGATAGGTGAAGCACCCACACCTGCCTCCACCCTCATTTACCCTACCCAGTGCCCTTGAGCAAGACCCTTAATCCCCACCATCTGCCCTAAATAACAGCTCTCTGCTCACACACAGAGGGCTGTGGTAGCTCGGTGGTCTGTGGTTGTGTCAGGAAGGACATCCGGCGTAAAAGTAATTGCCAAGTCTTTGTGTGACTTAGTTCACTGTGATGACCCCTGAAGAAAGAAGCAGCCGAAAGAAAAATAAAATAAAAATAAATTTTAAAAGTCTGAACAGTGCAGCTTTGTTGCCCTTATCTCCGCCTCCCTTTATATTAAGACCTCCTATCATTACGTCACTCGTTTGCACCTTTCAGAGTTTCAATAAAAAACTTTGCTCAATCAATAAAAATGTGTAAATCTGGGGAAATACTCAGTTTTTACATTCCTGTCCCTTTGCCATTTTTCAAACCGTTTTGACACTAGAGGACTGAATCATGGGTGGCATGTTAGTGCAGTTGGTAGAGCTGGTGCCTCTCAAAGAGAAGGTTGCCGGATCAAATCCCAGCCATGGGTTTTTCTAGGTGGAGTTTGCATGTTCTCTCCGTGCATGTGTGAGTTTTCTCCAGGTACTCCAGTTTCCTCCCACAGACCAAAAACATGCATGTTAGGCTGATTGGTAACTCTAAACTGTCTCTAGGTGTGAGTGAGAGAGTGAATGGTTGGTTGTCTCATTTGTCTCTATGTGTCCTTGTGATGGACTGGAGACCTGTCCAGGGTGTCCCCGCCTCTCACACAGTGACAGCTGGATATGGACACCAGTGAACCCCCATGACCCAAAAAGGAAGCGGGTAAAGATAATGGATGGATGGACGTTAGACACCTGCCTAATCAAACGTTTCTCCTCACTCCTCTCCTACAACAGTCTCCTGTTTCCCTGCTCTGAAACTCTCAAAGTCAGCAGAGTCTTCAGTTTGTGTTCTGCACTGGACACTCTCGTCCCTCTGTGCTTGTGCAGTTGAGAAACGCTCTCACTGACGTGTTACAGAACAGCATAACATTCACAATTGTTTTTGTTGTTAATTATTTATCAAGTGTCTCAGGATCAGGTGCGGAAAGAGGACCAAAATAACGTACTCAAATAAAGGTACCGTATTTTTTGGCCTAAAGGTGGCAGTTTTTTGCATAATTTACATGTCCTTACTTATAGGTCGAAGCGACGTATTTATGGATTTTTCCCATATTTATAAACCATTTTTTGGCTGAGATATGACCATTTGCATTCATTCTGACTGAAAAAAAATTTGAGCACCACTTTCAGCCACTTGATGGCAGCAGAGTAGTAATAGCTATATAGCATGCTGTTGCATCATGTAATAGGTAAATGTGGCAATAATGACAAATTCAATAAAGTTCAAGACAAAAACAACTGGACTTTATTTATTATACCAACAAAGTCCATGCTCAATAATCCAGGTATACAATCCAACAATTTTCAGTCAGGTCTTAGCACCAACAGAACTGGTTTGTTCCACTTTGGAGTAAGCTGTTGGGGGAAGAAGCAGTTTTGTGTTGTGCGTTTCCTTGGCTGATGAAGCCTTCTGAATGGAAAGTGAAACGTTTCAGCACAAAAAAAAAGAAACTGTCCAGAAGATCTGAATTGTTAAATTTATTTATTATACTTTACTTTATGCCTTTATAGTTTTTTCTTTTGAACTTTTTTGAATTTACCATGTCCTGCATGACTGAGAATCTTCACCATCTATTAATGAGACAATCTGCCTGCCACAGCCTCCCCACCTTCATTCTGCTCACTGCTTGGAACAAGTCAATCCAGCTGCACCACCCTGGTGAAATGCAGCTAATTTGACCATTAAAGTGCATTTATTAAGCAAATGTTAGACTGAGACACACTTTTGTTATAATTTTGAGCAAACAAATAATTGTTTTTAAGTGTTAATCTTATTAAATTCTTGTTAAAGTCCTTCCGTGTACGCTCCCACGGCCGTCATTTGGCAGCCCATCGATTTTTGGCACAACACCGGCCCACATTTCCGGGTTGTCAGTGGTGACGCGTAATAGATGCGACGTATACAGCGGATGCGACTTATAGGGCAGAGCGACAACTACAGCGGAAGATATGGTACAACTACTCTGTTGAAATTTAAATGGACTGTACTTATATAGAGCTTTTCTATCTGATCAAGATACTCAAAGTGCTTTACACTACAATCTGTGCCTCATTTACCCATTCATACAGCACTCTACTAGATTTATACAAAGAATAATCAGAGCTTTATCACATTCATACACCGATGGGACACACATTGGAGGCAACGAGGGGTTCAGTGTCTTGCCCAGGGACACTTCAGCATGCGACTGCTGGTGGAATTGAACCCCCAACTCTTGTATTGGAGGACGACTGCTCTAACTACTCAGCCACAACTGCCCAAATAAATTTACATGTGTGAAAATCTACTCAGGTAAAAGTAAAAAGTCTAAAAATTTACTCCGAGTAAAAGCTACTTAGTTACTTTTTGCAGCATGGTGGTGGTGGTGGTGGTGGTGGGGGGGGGTCCTTTCAAGTTTGATGCTCAGTTGACAGAAATTTTTCAAAGACGCTCTTAAATAAGAAGCCTCACCGTTTAACATCCATTTACCCATTCATTTTCTTTTACCCATTTCTCCTTTCCATGTCACGGGGGGAGCTGGTGTCCATGTCCAGCAGTCACTGTGTGGGAGGCGGAGGACACATGGACAGGTCTCCAGTCCAACACAAGGACAAACAAGCCGGACAAACAAGCCAAACAAACATTCACACTCTCACTCACACCTAGGGATGATTTAGTGTTACCAGTTAATCTAATATGAATGGTCTTGGTCTGTGGGAGAACACAGGAGTACTGGAGGAAACCCCCGTGTGCACGCCGGCCAGAACATGCACAAACTCCACATACTAAGACTGAGAGGTGCACCTGCGCTAATCACTATCATCCACAGTTTTAATGAAATTACAAAAAAAAAAAACATGGCTACAAATTTAAAATCTTGGTAGACCATAACTTATTTCATCGCAGTCTGCACACATTAACCTGTTAATTAACAAAAACAGCACAACGGCTAGGAGGTTAGCACTGTTGCTTCACAGAATGAAGGTCCTGGGCTCAAGCCCCAGGTTGGACCCAGAGTTTTTTTTTTGGTTACATGTTAACCCAGTGCAGACAGGGGTTTTCACCAGGTACTGGTTTCCTCCCACAGACCAAAAACATGTGTGTTAGGTTCATTGGTAACTATAACTTGTCCTTAGGTGAGAGTGTGAATTGTTGTTCGTCTCTGCGATGGACTGGAGACATGTCCAGGTGTCTCCAGCTCACCCTGTAACCTGGAAAAGAGAAAGGGGTAAAAGAAAATGGATGGATGGTATAAAAACACTTAAATGACCTGACCTGCTCTAGATTTTAATTACAGTTCAGTCTTTAAGCTAACACTAACCTCGACTCACTCACTCCGGCAGATGAAGTGGCCCGGCAAGTGGGCGGAGTCTGTACAATGTCTGTGGGTTTGTCACTTCTAGCTGGATCAAACGCTGGTTGACTGAAAAGGTTCAAGGTTCAAGTTCTTTATTGTCATTCGCATCACATGTGGTACATGAGGTGGAACAACTGTGCACTCAAGGTCCCAGTTACACCCAAAAATAGCAAAAATACAAAGTATAAAAAAGAAACAGTAGATAAGGATATAGGATATACATTAAACACTAATAATAATATAATACGGTGTATTAAACAGCAGCCTGAACATGAGGCTGTTGTGAGCAGGTGGGTGTGAACACAGCAGCTTAAAGGCAAGAGACGAGGAGTAAAGAGCAATTCCAGTCACTGCGGGCTTACGATGTACTTTTCCCTCCATCATTTTACAGAGCGGAGGAGAGAAAGATGGTCCCTTTTCTGGCAGATCTGATTTGAGGGGGTAAGGTATTTGTTTGAGGGG